GACGTCATTGTGCCTCTGGTTTCGTTTTTGAATAAGCTGTGTTTTATGATGTTAGAAGTTTAATGAGTTCCTCCGACCTTATTAGGAACCTTTCACGCTTGACCGCTTGACCACTTGACAGGATGACTTCATCCTTTGTTTAAGGCACTGACTTCACCGATGATTGTCATCACTGCCCTTGTGTGTACACAACAGACTTCGCTACTCCAGTATAACAATATCTACTCTACTGTGTAAACATTGCCTCCTACTTGTATATATACTTGCCTACTACACTCTGTAAATCACTTGCTTGATAACGGTGTTAGAACCTACACCGAAACGTCGCTATTAGTTGTAATAAAGAAGTTGTTCATCCATAAATTCTTATCCTTACTTGAGAAGAATGGTGTTGAAAGGTACCACTGGAGACTAGTAATGCCGATCCCTGATAAATGGCGAGCTGCTGGGGTTGGTGGGGTGAAATGGGGTTTAACGTCGTTTCCAAGATTATTGCACTTATATAGCAACGTCCACGCACGCACGTGTGTGCGTGTGTGTGTGGCTGCTTGTACAAGTCAGGACTGATGCCGATTTATAGTGCTAGCTCACTGAGATACCATGGGGCAGTTTAACACAAAACTTCAACTCAGACACAGTATACTTACTCCGATCCGCCCAGTCCTTGTTGCCGAGTGCCAGACAGGGTAACAAAATACCATCTTTTGACGTACTTTGGTATGACGCGGCCGGGGATCGAACCCCGGACCTTCCCCTCTCCGGGCGGACGCTATACCGCTAGACCCCGGAGGCTGTCACAGCTGCTGGGGAACGTGGGGGATGAAGAAGGAGCTCCAGCCAAATGATGACAAGATTACGATTGTGTCTGGATGCTTTCTGCTATAATACTTAATGTCGTGTATCTTATTTAAAAAATAATCATTCTTTCTATTAGAGAAGACAATCTTGTTGAGACCGTCAATGTTCATGTTCAGTCTACGCAACGTCATCGTTGCTGCTGAGGTAATGCAAGATGATGAGTCAGAATGGGACTGGGGGTTTTATCGAAAGAACCAATTGTCCCAGTTTTTAATGCTTGAAAACAATATTTATGCTTTAGTCTGATGAAAGGTAACGCAATGTTCTGCCACAAAAAATAAATAACAAATAATAGGCTCAATTTTTAACATAGGAAATATCTGGTTTTACGGCTGTAGCCATACCCAATCCCAGCAAACATCAACTGACTCAGAAATTTAATATGAAATTATAGTCCAGTGAACTATGTGCGTGTATGGTACTCTTGAGACGCTACTTATAATAATTCGTATAGTTGATATATTTCAAACCTCAGTAGGAGCGGGCGGGTAGCCTAGTTCATTTCAAAACAGACATTATGCAAATATCGTTAAAGTTAACAACGCAAAACCAAAATCGTTGAAATTCCGATTTAGCTTTTTCTGTTGGTATTATATTGTTAAAAAACAGTAATGTTTGTTACCTTTACCTTGAAAGCAGACAGAACAGTCAGTCCTTCACGGATGTTAAAGAAGTTGACAAGCTCTCAATGACCCGCTGCTTTTCTGCAAATCGGTCTAAGTGTGTTTTGATATGACGGGTATAACATACCGCACCCTATCTGGTACCCCATCTCGTGTGGGGGGATGGTGCGCTTAGGGACGGGGAGGACTCCGAATACTGTGTGGAGTTATGGATAGTGTTCCCATTGATCGGAAACCTGTATCATCAGTCAAATTCATGATCGCAAAAGTAGTTCTTCTCACAACAAATGAATTCTCAGCACGCACATTGCTATTTCGCGTGTTCATTCCAGGAATTCTGATAACAACGTGAAGTTCTAAGCCTTCCAAACCACAGCATGGTTATTTCGTTGTTGCCATGGTTATTTAGATAATCACGTTTTAATGAAAATATTATTTTGAACGTCATTTGGAAGTTTAATATTGAATAAATGGCACATTTGACCTTTTCAGTCCATTATGTCAAGCCGTCACTCATATTGGACGTCAGTGAGATATAAGACGGTCTACCGTCTCTTCTTTTACGTATATAAATTGTTGCTAGGCAACATACACATCATCGACAGACGCAATGACGTAATTTATTATCAGTTATGTCAGAGCGAATCTGTTTTTAACCTATGTCTATTACGCTATAAATGCATCACCAAGGTGACGTATTCAGAACTGGAATGTGTCTGGCGATCGGGAATCTTAAAGCCGTGCGTTTCGAATAAATGAAATAATCATATAAGAAGTGGCGGATTGATTTAAATATTTAAACAGCTCAACAGATGGACGAACGAGACAACGATACAGTATGAGATTATCATATGTGTTTGTAATCAAATGGTTTTGTTTTAGAATAACACCACTATCAGAAATCATGTGTAACATTATTGAGAGTATTGCATTCGGAGCTAAATTACATGACAGAGTGAGTGAGTGTGGTCGAGTGACTGAATGGAAGGGTGGGCCATTTTAACAATTTCACAGCAACATCCTTGCTTGATGTTTAACGCTGCACTCCTGCAGTATTCCCGATATATGGCCGCTCTGTAATTATTCGAGTTTAGACCAGTCAGTGCAGCGATTAGCATCATGAGCAACGATTTACTTAATTGGGATACGATGACATGCATCATCTAAGTACCCCAGTCATTACGTTGCCACCTACGCCCAGTCGTGTTTGCCTGAAATCTATTCCATCCACGGAACCTCGATATCAACGCGACGGGGGACACCGGAATTGAACTTCACAAATTGTGCCACGCACAAACACGCACGCATGCACACAGACCGAACTCATCCCTGCGCTACAAGACACCCATTTCATGGTCCAATCGTGTAAGGCGCCGCAGTTCGCTGTGTAGAGTTCGAATCCCGATTCGAATAACATTTCTGGGTTTGTCAGCATCATACCTGGGTTTCATCGAACCGTTAAACGTCAAAGATATGCACAACTTCGGACTTTCCTTTTCAACATCAAACCGACACACCGACACGCCGTGATACAACTGAACTACTGTTCAAAGATGCGGAGGACCTACTCATTTAATGGACCCGCATCCCGTTAAGGAAGTCACCGAGTGAACTTTGTTTACAGTGGTGGCATGTTGGTATTTGTAAGTATGCGAATATATAGATCACAGATTAGCAATATATTAGCAAGTATGCAAATATATAGCTCACAAATTAGTAGTTAGCATACGTGTTAGCAGTCATTAACAAAAAAAGAAAAACACAAGAAAACAAAAGTCTTTTCGGTCATTTGTCATGCCACGCCTTTCAAATGTGCAACGTTAACGTACCATCGGCATGTTGCAGACGGGAATGTCCGTAGCTGAAGTCGCAAGGACGATGGGTTGTAGTCGACGGACTGTTGATGATTTACAGATGCGTCTACAGCAAACGGGTATCACCGGCCAGTTCGACCACGTGTGACGTCACATGCAGAGTATCGTCAGATTGTCTTACGTCACCTCCGTAACCGATTTTTGACGGCTACATCAACCAGAAATGAACTGTTTAGGGGTAGACTGAGTGCGCAAACTGTTCGAAACCGTCTGAGAACTGCTCACCTTCAAGCACGACGGCCATACTGCGGGCCGATTCTGACTCAAGTACACAGACGTCAACGTCAATTGTGGGCAGAGCGGCACTTACGATGGACTCAGAGGAATTGGAATCAAGTCGTCTTCACTGATGAATCCCGATTTAATCTTCGATTTGCTGATGGTAGGGCGAGGGTGTGGAGGCGCCGTCATGAACGTTACGCCCAGTGTTGTGTACAGGAAGTTGACAGATTTCGAGGCGGAAGTGTCATGGTGTGGGGTGCTTTCTGTGGCAATGCACGTTCCAGGCTTCTTGTCACCGTGGCAACCTCAACGCTGCTGCTTACCGCGACCAGGTACTGGCACCAGAACTTCTGCCTTTATGGCAGCACATTGACCCGGTTTGATCTTCAAACACGACAATGCCAGACCTCACACAGCAGTTTTGACAAGGAATTTCCATCAGAATGCGGGAGTCAACGTCATGGAATGGCCCTCAAGGTCTCCCGACCTCAATCCCATCGAACACGTCTGGGATGCTCTTGGCAGAAATCTGCGCACTCTCCAGAACCAACCACGGAATTTGCAAGATCTTGGCACCATTTTGCAGCAACAATGGCGTCGTCTTCCCAATCATGTGTTCACAAGCATCACAAGGTCCATGCGGAGGCGTTGTGTGGCAGTTGTCAACGCACATGGTGGCCATACACGCTACTGAACTTGTGTGCCATCAGATTCTCGTGCTTGGGACTTAAACTGTTGATGTTATAACGGTATACCGTAGGTGCTTGGAACAAATTATGGTTGCCACCGTTAATTAAAATCCTTCTTTGGACATTAATGATTAAAAATTACCTTCTCTGATACATTTATCCGTTGTATATCATATATGGCATTACTTTTAAAAATGTGAAGTTTTTAATTTGACTCAGTATATATGACAACGGCCAATCACTAATCGAGCCTTCATCTGACATTTCCTCGCCTCGTACGACAAGCACGTACATGCACGTTGATAAGGTGAGGTGGCTACAAGGATGCGTACCCCCACTTCCTTATCATACTTAACATGCATTCACACGAACATTTTCCAGGTGATCGGGTGTAAGAGTGAAAGTATAACAACAATATGATTCTTTCCATTGATCATATATTTTCAACAAAGTTACACGATAACTGAACCCGATTTAATTGATTGACAAAATGCACCGTTATATTTCCCAAAAGCTGTATCATCGATATAATTAAAAGCGACAGAACCCTTTCCATATTCATAAGAAATCTCTGCCGAAAGCAGAGTCCATTGTACGATTCCGACTGTATTATGAACCACAGTCACATAGTGATGATACCAGACGTTCGCGAAGAGGTGAGCGTTTCCTGTCCCACCGGTGCTACCCGTCACAAATACATGCAAAGGCAAGTCAATTGTTCACCAAAAAGAAACACGGGAGCATATGGTACAAGTCAAAATAGGGAATTACATCGGATGTTCTTGTCACTGATGCGTCAAATTTGGAAATGTACTCCTCATGTTTGACATAAAACTTTTTGAAAGCTTTACTGGGGCCTTGCATGTTGTAAACTTGATCGCAAAGCTTCTGAGCAAAGATTAAACAAACCCGGAATTTCCACGGGGTTCAACGTATGTTAGTGTGTGAATGTTGATATTATTATCAACACATAAGCCATACATTTCTATATCAAGGTATATGGCACCCGGATATCACTTGCTTCAGAAAGAATACTGTCAAGTTGTGTTTCAGGTACATTCAGTGCTACGTAGACAAGAAGCTTTTTCAGGAAGCAATAATGTTTGAAATCATTCAACAACATTTGGTGTAATTATTTCAAGCATTTATGTTGGGTTTAATCGTTTGCTTCGTGTTATGTTCTTCTGGGTAGCACAAAACAATCCCTCATCAGAGCCCCTCACGACGGCAGCCATTCGGCTAAAACCACTTCTCGACATTATCAGAGTGTCACACGTTGAGAGAATATATTCATCTAAAATAGCTTTCTCCATGCCAGAACAAACAGCACCTCCGTGAGGCTGGTCGATGTGAACTATTTGACCTTCGATCTCCAGGAAATGTTCAGGAAACGCTCGTTTTAACACAACTCTGGCCTCGTCCGAGTCCGTTGCTATGAACAATCTACACGAATCAGCAAACTGTATCTGTTTCTGTAAAAACAGAACTAGTGAATCCAGATCAGGTCGGGACTTTTTAGCATCATCACTGGGTATGGTATTTGATTTCCCCATACGTAGATGTGCGCAAATTAAGGTTTTAGATGCTCTTTCTTCTTTAGCGTTAAAGGAATCGAACTTTGACTGTGTATTGGGGGAAAACCGGAAGAGCTGAGAAAATGCGATTCTGTATATATCATGGTGACTTTTGTTCTGTGCCCATTTCACAGTAGAAAAGAGTGGGTTCTGCATGAGACTAGGCACATAATCTATATTTCCCATGTAGAAAGTCACATCCTTGTCATACATCGTTTCCAGACTCTTGTGTTTCATTTCTTGTCCAAGCCATCTACTATTAATGCTTCTCTTAGTTTCGTGACTCCGACCTTTAAGCTTTGTCTTTTCAACACGCCATTCAACCAGATTTGGAATGACAAAATTTGAAAATTCACAAGGTCTTTTCATGGATAATCCAAAGTTTCGTTTTAACATCTGTGATACTAAATATGATGTAATTATACCTTTCTGTCTGTCAGCCAGACCGCCACAAACATAATTGCAGTCATAAATTATGTATTTGTCAACCAAGACGTCCATTGGTGGTGCTACATCCGGTATGACGCCATACTGGTTTGGACGAGTTGTCTCATCTTGCTGAATTGTTCGGGTGACACTTGGTGAAGCCCGACGAGTGTGAATCTTGTCAGACTTCGTTCCAAAACGAGTGAAGACGTGTAGAGCAGAAATAACGTTTTTCATTTGTGCAAGACAGAAGAAATATACTGGAAGCGACGTCACACAGATGACTAAGAAAATAATTTTCTTCATTTCCTGAAAGGAGACAAAAGACTGCAATAAAACTCGTTAAAATTACATCTCACGTAAGCGAGTGGGTGGTAGAGTGCGTGAGTGAGGGTTGGACGCTGCTTTGAACAGTATTTAAGTGATATAAACACGTGTAGACTTACCTTAGGAGGAAAGTCCAAAGGGAGACGGGTCACAGACGTTTAGCAATGTTTTGAAACTTTCGAGCACGCCTTTGGTTGATTTTAGATGTGGGTATTTATAGATAACAACAAAAATATGAAATATATATTATTTATGATGTAGCTAAGGTATGTGCACGTGTAAAAACTGTAGTTTGTAGTCAACCAAAGAAGATATTCAACACTTTAGATTGTATATTGTTTTGAAATGTCTCGCCTCATGAACACGTTCCTTATTTCAATATTGTATTCAATTCCACCCATGACAGTACACAACATTTATATATTTACATGTATACGACGGCTACATGGGCAAGTATAACGGTAAACACAAACGTGTGTTTGTTTAACATTTTTGTGTGTTGAAACACTGTTATATTAAAGTTAAAGGGAAATATAACCATTTAGTCTGTTCGGGTTACCAATTCTAGCTATTATTTCCTGAATAAAACATTATCTACTTCAGGCATACACATATTATTTTGTGTCATGTGACACCAGATGTTGTTATCAACCAATACTCATAACGTAAACAACCATAGAAATGTGAAACATCAATGCTAGAGAATAACCAAGTTCGATTTTCCAACGAAAGAATTCCTTTTGGCGTGAACGTTGACAATAGCGGTACAAATATATTAATGGATCACTGAAAATCAGTGATGCCGCAATTGTTTGCAAAAATCTGTTGCCTCCGATGAATAGATGAAGTTTTGCCGAAACAGTAAGCTCTTAGAAGTCTTGTTTGCCAGCTGGGACCATGTCAGTATGTCAGGTATGAAATGCATTTACACGTTGAACGCATTGACAGAGAGTATTAGTTATCTTGAACGGTTGGTGAAACCGCGCAAATCGAAACAGTTCATTTATGGTGTAGTATTTCCATTGGCAATTCTAGATCTGGGGGCGAATATATTTCGTGACACCGGAACTACTGATGTAACTGATTTCAGAGATCTTATTAATCCTCGCAAACATTCGGTTTTAACACTAACTACGTAAAAACTGTCAACATATCCACGCCGTTATACTCTGATTAAAGATCTAAAATATATTCCTTAATACAGGCTACCATTTGAAAATGGTATCAGTGTAATACCAGGGGCTAGAATATCATGGTGCAACCAGGTTTCTGTTAAACATACAACATCATAACTATCTAATTCAGCACTGATTAAATCTACTTTAAAATCTACTAAGACTGCGTACGTTTACATGTATAATCTTTATAAGCAAAGTAACCCAAAATATAGATAATGTGTATCATCTTCCCGAAATGATTAGCATGTAGAATAGATTCAAAAACACCTGTATTGAACAACATCAACCGGCATCGTCAAAGCAAAGTGTACATGTAATTGTTACAATGGGGCTGGCGGTGAATATTAATGAAGAACATCTTGTTAAAAAGACACACCGAAACTGATTTGCATAACTGATGACCACAACATATTGCAAAATATCAAAATAGTAAAAATGATACAGTTTAACCTCACACTGAAGAGAAAACAAGAACGAAACAAAAAAGTAACATAGTACGTCATATAGAACTGAGATAAAGTAATCTGAGAAGGGATTCATACGTTATATACAACTTAAAAATATATTATTATGAAAAACGAAAGGAAAGGTGGGACACCCCCCACCCCCAAACACACACCCCACACCCCACACAAGTAACTAAATGTATAATTCAGAAAAATAAAGGAGATAAAAATGAATTAAAAAACACATAAACAAATTAACATTAAAACTATTGGCAACTGCATGGCAAGTATTTATAAAACGACCGGGGGAGGAAATATTCTGGGGGGAGATTTTATTTCGTAGGGTGGGGGAGAGTTTATTTCGAGAGGGCCGGAACTGTACCGGTATAAATTCGCCGGGGGGAGATTTTATTCTTGGGGCGAATATATTTCGTGACACCGGCACGCCAATGGTACTACTTTGGCATTTGAACCCTTACCCAATGAAGCGTGCTATGGTTACGGAACTGTACAGAGAGAGGGTCCGAAGACGGATCATTATTTCATGTCATGATTATGATTACATGAACTCAACAGGGGTGGTCGGGTAGCCTAGTGGTTAAAGCGTTCGCTCGTCACGCCGAAGACCCGGGTTCGATTCCCGACATGAGTACAATGTGCGAAGCCCATTTCTGGTGTCCCCCGCCGTGATATTGCGGGAATATTGCTTTACAAAAGCGGTGTTAGACCAACCTCACCCACTCACTCCTATCAATGAAATGAGACCGGTCATGGCTCATTGAAATCAAACGAGCCCTATACTCCGAAGGGAAAGTTGCCGTGTATATATATGCTGCCCTGCCATACATATATCATAGTGATGATACCAGGTGTTCGCGAAACAGTGAGCGTTTCAGGCCCTACAGGGAGGACCGGTCACAAACACATACAAAGGCAAGTCAATTGTTTCTCATCTTTCCGAGAAGGTGAAAGATCATTATTAATATAATAAAAATAAACACTAGCAGAGTAGTAAGGGGTTTCAAAGTTAGCAGATCGAGTTGTATGTCGATTTTTCCAGTTACCCACTCTTTGACGTAAAGTCTTTACGGCCATTATCTATAGTATTTACCCATGATTACAGATTGTCATATCCTACCCACTTTTGGGTGCGATCTTTCGGTAATGTCCTTTATTTGCGTTGCCTAGTTACATCTAAAGGGAACAAAACACTTCCCTCTCAAAACATGATGTCGTCTATTTTACGACATCAAGTTATGAGAGTATGTTCAGATCTCAAATCATGATAGAACAATGTTTTATCGTGAAATATACCACGCCTCGTTCTTCATTGTACTTTGCGATTTATCGTGTAGCTATCTTTTATTGATTTTTCAAGATGGCTTCAGTTGCTATATTGAAAATCCGATTTCATCGTCTCGAAAATGTTTGAGAACAAGCATGCAGTTGCGACTACATTGGTGCAATAGTTTCTGTCAGTGAGATGTTCACGGGCGACAACCGGTAAAGCAAGGCAGGACATTTTCAATAACCACAAAAATACATACATGGACTTCATTGTGTCCCAGGAAAGTCTACAGAAGGATATAAAAGCGACAAAACCCTTTCCATATTCATAAGAAATATATGTCATGAGCATGTGTTTATGAAACACTATAAAATAGTGACCAGGTATTCGCGAAAATGTGAGCATATTCTGTCCCACCGGTGCACCCGTCACAAACACATGCAAAGGCAAGTCAATTGTTCCCCCAAACACTTTTCACATTCACATTTCAAACGGGAACATATATATGGTAAAGGCTCAAATAGTGAACAGCATCGGACATCTTTTTGTCACTGACGCATCAACTGTTGTAATGATGTCTGTCAGAAGCTATAGCAACTGACATAACAACGCGAAACTAACAGATGCCACCTTACGTTTACAAACATTTCACAATATCAGAATGATTTCTTCTTCAGGAATAGGAACAACCTACCTCACAGCGTGAAACTATGGTGTGGTTGTATAATGGTTATATCTGTGCGCAGCTGTGTGTCTTCAGGTATGGATGGTCTACATAATAAGTGTCATCCTCCGCCGGTATTGGTCGACGTTAGGTTAATATGTGCATGATGTGTAATGTGTACTCTAGTAGCCCATAAACAGGGAACAGCTGCACGTGTAATTGCGCGACAGAAAATAATTAATAAAACATAAATATTAATAAGTATGTGTCTGGATGAGAATTCAATGTATCCAGCTGGAAGATACATAGATCTGTGTGAAGATGACCTTGTTAGACAAACATAACATCAGATATTTGATATATGATTCACTGATTCGTTAGTTGGTGCAACACAACATAGCAGAACAGAATGTATTACAGCAATTTGTACAAGGAGTTATACATTACATACATTTATACAAAAAGCCAATATATTTCTTTATACAAACTGTCTGAAAAAATGTGTGCAATTATTTCACAGATAAACTAAAAATTCTGATAACGAAACCAAAATATTTTGATGTTGAATTTCATAACACATTGACTGTAACATGTACAGGCCACGACTTTTTCACTGTGTATTATACACGACATCCACCGAGCTGCGAAATCTGTATAACGGATTATAGGTTACAGCGACCTGAGTTTACATACAAAAGAGACATCGATAGAGATCACCCTCGTATCTTATTATATGAAATATATCAACACAAGACGATGAAAGATTAAATCTCCGAGGCTTGTAGAGTGCAAAAGCGCAAAAGCGCTTGGTTCCAAATTAAAAATAAGAGATATTGATTCTTCTGTGAGACCATCTCACATTTCAAAACACAGCAGGTATATTTCTTAAATAACCAGTGTCTTGAGCGCAAAAACAACAGTTTACTACAGCTGACCAGCCTCAGTGGAAGAGGGATTAGGAATCATGGCATTTGATTGTGAAGTCATGGTAGCGAAGACGTCACAATGGTCTGCAAAGGATTGTGATGTAATTTCATTGTATTGATATCAGCTGGGAGATATTGCTTCATCTCACCCAAACGATATGTCGTATCGAATTCAGTTTTGGATGATTAATAGTTTTTCCTATTTTAATCAATTGCAGTCGTCATATTTGGGATAACAGTACATCCTAGAAAATTACCATCAGATGCATTACGAACGATATGTGATGCGGTTGATGCAGCACATCACGACAGCATTTATTGCGAAACAATGACAACTTCCATCAGCCAGAGACGAACTAGCTGTAAACTGACAACAATCAAAAGAGTTTTATCCTACAGTTCTGACTGTCCCTGTGGATAAACCGAAAATGCACTTCAGAATTTCTGTACCTGAGTCAAGTATGATGTTATTATAAAATTACAATATACTATTGTATTCATACATATTATTAGAAACTATTTTTAAACGATAAAGCTGACACGGTTACAATAAAATCAGTATTACCTTTAGGCCTAAGCAAATATCTAACAGTAAATGTCTGGTTCAATGTCAGGCAGTAAAATCGGTTTAGAAATTGCATTTCTGGGTGGCGCAGCAAATATGTCGTTTCAATGCAACCCTGAATTATACTGTAAACGTGCCATTTTATGAGCTAATGCCCTTGATAGTTGACAGATATTAACAGTTCAACGGTCTTGATACACGCAACGAATTCTCATGAAGTAAAATCAATATTTCTGTAATTTGTGGTCGGTTTCAGAACGCAACTCAGATGACTGTGACCCCAAAGGTTACTCAAAATATGCCTTGAGCGCAGCCTAGATATCAAGCTACCCGTGAAGATCCGGGATAGAATAGGTCTTCAGCAACCCATGCTTGCCGTAAATGGCGACTATGCTTGTCGTAAGAAAGGACTAACGGGATCGGGTGGTCTGGCTCGCTGACTTGGTTGATGCATGTCATCGTATCCCAATTGCGTGGATCGATGCTCATGATGTCAATCACTGGATTTTCTGGTCTAGACTAGATTATTTACAGACAGCCGTCATATAGCTGGAATATTTCTGTGTACCACTATAGTGGCATTGGTAGCATATGCGTTGCACCACAAACATGTATCCGGTTGCAATGCAAATAGCATAACAGTAGCCAAACAGTAGCAAAACAACAGCAATACTTAAGGTCATTTTACGATAATGTATTCCAGTCTCATCTCAGACACAGTACAAGTCAAATACAATGAGGAACGATTTGATATAAACTGGGCCACCCCTGTATATGAATGGACCCCTGAAAATCAGTGATGGCACCAAGTGTTCGCGAAAAGGGTAACTGTGCTAGTTTTCTTTGTTCTAATATACTTTTAGTATTTAGTAACATATCAAGTAGTATCACACTAGATCAACAGGTTCCTCTTCCCTTTTGGCCCATTTTTGGCATATGCTTCGACAAGTGGTAGGAGTCGATATTTTGCTCCATATTTGAATAATTGACGAAGGTTGTTATTGTCAACAATAGAGCAGTCATAGCCTCCTTAGTCAGGAAATATTCCATAAAACGCCGTAATATAACTGGAATACCGTCAAACCGGCGTTGAACCCAACTCACACACCCACTATCCGTGGACCCAATGATACTGTACCATGTTGACATATTACAACTTTATACAAATAAATACAGCGACAAAACCTTTTCCAAAATCACAAGAAATCTCTGCCAGTAGCAGAGTCGATTGTCTGTGTATATGAATCACTATCAAATAGTGACGATACCAGGTATCCGCAAATAGGCGAGCATGTCTTGTCCCACCGGTCACAAACACATGCAAAGGCAAGTCAACTGTTCAGCTTAAAAAACCCCGTGAACATATGATACAAGTCAAAATAAGGAATTACATAGGACATCTGTCAAGTCTACGTTACAAGTGTGTAAACGCTGACACACTAGCTATGTTAAATGTGTATAGCCAAATATGAACCTAGCTTCTCTATGACTCCGTGAAGAGAAACTGTCTACAAACTCTAGTCGTGTTCGCGTGGTATTGTACAACTGTAGTTTACTGAAACAAATCAGGTTTCAAAACGCTTACCGTAAATCCCGCTTTCAAACGGGTTTTTCTATCGTTTCAGGTTTCGAAAATAAGGATTTCATTAGAGGTGAAATGCAAGCATCAGATCGAGATTATCCAGTTCACCTTCCTGTTCAACCACAAAACTACATGGAGATGTACATGTACGGGGAGGACACGGCAGGATTTGCCTAACTTTGTCACTGTCCAAGCGTTCCGTACTTGTGTTAATACTTGACGTCCTGCTGGCTATGACCGCCTCCGTGGTCTAGTGGTAGAGCGTCCGCCCGGAGAGCGGAAGGTCCAGGGTTCGATCCCGGGCCGCGTCATACAAAAAGACGTTAACAGATTGTACTTGTTGTTACCCTGTCTGGCGCTCGGCATTAAGGGGCTAAAACAAGGACTGGTCGGCTCGGAGTCAGTATACTGTGTCTGAGTGGGGTATTCATGTTAAACTGCGGCATGGTATCTCAGTGAGCTAGCACTATAAATCGGCATCAGTCCGGACTAGTACAAGCAGCCACACACACACATACACGTGCATGCACGTCGCTATATAAGTGCAATAATCTTGGACGCGACGTTAAACCCAATTTCACCTCACCTCCTGCTGGTTATAGTACCACGCAGCAGAGGGCACCAGTTTGACAAGCTGTCACATGCTACACACCTTCCGATAAAACACATTCAATCATTAAAACGTATGTTTTGACTTAGGGGATACTGTTATACTTAATACATAACTTAATACGTCAATTTTATGATTTGATAAATGTCATTTATATGCACATATAAAAAATAATAAGCAGTATCGATGTGCAGACAAAACAGATTCCACTGGGCGTAAAGGGCAAAATAACGCTGATAATCAAATGAATGTATCAATGAAAATCAGTGATGACACCAGGTGTTCGCATTAAGGAAGGCATACTGTGCCCTACCGATTGCATCCGCCACATACACAATTTGCCTGGCGTACTTCCATATGTTGCCTGACTAACATAATACGTATATTAATATTAGATTTAAAATAGAAAACAAAATAAACAGCACCTACATATATGCATTACAGCAATATCGGACAGACAGACAGACAGACAAATAGTTTATATACATCTCACTCATAATATAATACATATATAAAATAGTAGCATTTATTTGAAATTGTACACCGCCAAGTCATAAGTTATGAGAGGCGATAACAGACTACATGAAATATGCAACAAAATACTTTTCATAAAATAAACCTTTTTGTGGTGTAATATCAAAAATCAGTTTGGACATTAAAATGAATCCACTTGAATAAACACACATATTGTCCTGGTTTGACAGATTTTAAAAGTTGGGGGATGTAGCTGTTAAAAATCGTAAACAATACGAGTGAGTGAGTATGGTTTTACGCAGCTTTTAGCAAAATTCGAGCAATATCACTGCGGGGATCACCAGAAATGGGCTTCACACATTGTACCCATGTCAGGAATCGAACCCGGGTCTTCGGCTTGACGAACGAAGGCTTTAACCACTAGGCTACTCGACCGCCCCGTAAACAATACGAGTCGTATGTGATCGTATTATTGGCAATGAAGTTAAATCTGTTTCTCATCTTCAGTCATATCATTACAATTAAAACAAACTCTTTCTTATCATAATTTAGGGGGCACTGGTTTGCAATTCGTAGCACTTCGCTGTGCAGGCTTGCGTCCCTTGGGCACGCCCAAAACCTATGATCGAGGGTTCGAATACCGGCTCGCCCCGATTATTTTTCTAGGTTTGTCAGCACCATACCCGTCCTCGTGGGTTTCACTAAAGTGGTAAACGTCTGACATCTGCATCACGGTTGTGCACATGACCAAAAAAGGTAACTCTGTCAGCAGGCCGACACGGCAAGGACATCTTCCCAAGGCAAGTGAGTTAACAGTTTCGACCCTTGCCGAACAAGGCTGGAATTCCTGGGCTCGATCATAGCGCCACCAGTGGCTATTAAGAGTTATGTCCCTCCTAAGCCTCTCCTATGGACCAATCAGATTCCACCTCTCGTATCACTTGTATTTGCTTCAAACACAACGGTGGCGTCAAGTCAAGACGATCTGATCGATAATCAAGATCCATATTGTG